TTATGGAGTTTCACCAAGTACCGACGGTTTCAAGTATCAATTTCTTATTTTGTATATACTAAGTGTCCAGTGTGTCCTAAATGTCATAAACATATTGAAAAACATTCTTACAGTACAAATCAAGGTCAAAATGGAAAGATCATGAACAAAAGTAGTCTTGTTTTGGAAAGACTTTTCACAAACACAACATTTTAGGAGTTCCACTGCATATTTTTCTAGCAAGGGATTAGACTTTAAACTTATGCAAAGTTTTTTTTAAAGAAAAGTTGGTCTAGCAGATTTTTCTCTTATTCAAAGTTTGTTTTTTGTTTTGAACTGTAAACAAAGCTACACGAAGGCTATCTACACTAGCTGTCTCTAATTTAGTAACGAAAGACTAGAGGGAAGGCAGCTCGTCATCACCACCCACCGCTAACTCTAGGGCTACTCTTTTACCAATAAATAGTGGGATTGGCAGATCACATTATAACATCCCCAAGGCTGAAAGGGTGAGCATGTTTGGTGGGATGGGGATTCGAACCCGCGACCCTCAGATTGCGAGTCAAGCACCCTAACCACCTGGCCATGCCGGGCCTATTCAACACTGCCACCAAAACATGGCAATTTCTGTACAATTGTCTCACAATGTTAGGGTTCAGTAATAATTAAAAGTATTTTAAATGTTATTTATCATAACTTCATCAATAAATTAAGCATGAATCTATGTTTTATCTACATAATGACCAGTGATGTACTATGTAGGGTTAAATGTATTATAAAACATTTGAAAATCAAAGTTATTTATAACTGTAGTCATGTTTAACTGATAGGGTAAAGTATCTGTATCATAAGTGTTAAGGTTTGTTTATTTGTGTTTATTTCTGGCAGTTATTTTGATTTAAAAATAATTATTTCCGAAGAAATAATTACTAATCAGGGGTGCTCGAAGATTAAGCAATCCTCCTTCACCCCGCGCGTGGACTAGGTATATGGGCTTAATTTGAGAAACAGGAAATTAATGCAGACAAGCTATGTAAACTTAAAAGTAACAAGTAGAAAGTAAAAAGTGAAGAGCAGAGTAAACTAAACTAAACGGCCGATATAGAACAGATGGTCCATCAGAGCGGTGGGGATCTATAAATCCTATGCCAAGAATTTTATGTGGGGGAAGTGTTAAGGTGGGTCAAAATGACCCATGTGTCATAAAGTTCAAAAATATTATCTTTGTAATATAGTGGAATCAGAATGACCCATAAACGACAAACAAATGATTAAACAGTACAAAAAAAAGGAGAACTGAAACAGCACATCCACACTACTAAACATTCAAAAACTGATTGAGGATATAGTACAGAAAATATCTGGTAGAGAGCAGCACTAGCTGAGTTGGAATATCAACTTGAAAAATTGGCATGGTTCCTTCTGAGCCCACCCTACTAGTTGAGAGTTAAGAGAGTGTAAAATAATCTAAATAATTTTGGTCTTAGAAGTATTTCTATTTCGTGAAATTGACTAATTCTTTGCTATAGATAGGACTTTGAGAAAAGAGCAACAACTCACACTGTCTACCATGTTGAATTTTTAATTACTTGTAAACACGTACAAGAAACTGATAGGTACCCATTAGCTGCTTGCTTCAAGCAAGACTTTTCACAACTACTTTTCCTCTAGTTCACTAAACAGGCAAAAGCTTTGAAAAATAAGTAGGTTTAAGACTATGTGTTGTTAGGGTGCATTAGTTTTTTTTTCAATGAACAACACTACTAAACTGATTATGTAAGAAAGTGTGACCAGATTTGACCATTACCAAGTTGCTGTATTCTTTCAATCAGAGAGAAAGAGAAAACAAAATATGTGAACCTCTTCAGCTAGGCAGGTTCTCAGAAATTTCAGATAATCTTAAGGCCCAAAAATTGAATGCAAGATTAATTAGAAGAGTTAACTAATTTTTGAAAACAGTTGTCTTAGAGGAAGGATAAGAGTAAGATTACAGGCAAATAGCCAGGCCAAGGTCCACTGATTGTTAAATAAAGTCACTAAGTCACTAAATTAAGTTACACCTGAACTCCACCAAATCCAAAAGTTTGTCCCCTGGATGACTTTATATGGACAGACTAGTGTTAGAGGATATGAGACATTTAATCGTGTATGTATGTATATGTAGGATATATATATATTTTCAAATGAGAGCTGGTCTAAGAATTCAAGAGGAATGGATAAGATTAAACAGTAACAATAAAAAGTGTGGGGGATGAGATTAAACAGTAACAATGAAAAGTGTGGAGGATAAGATTAAACAGTAACAATAAAAAGTGTGGGGGATGAAATTAAACAGTAACAATAAAAAGTGTGGGGGATGAGATTAAACAGTAACAATAAAAAGTGTGGGGGATGAGATTAAACAGTAACAATGAAAATTGTGGGGGATGAGATTAAACAGTAACAATGAAAAGTGTGGGGGATGAGATTAAACAGTAACAATGAAAAGTGTGGAGAAAGCATAAACTGCCATGCAAAAAGATAATTGTTGTCTTCTTAAAGGAACTAGATAGTTTGCTGGATAATTTCACTGGTGAAGAGTGTTCAGTTTGTTGGTAGGATGGAATGAAGAGCTGAAAAGGGAAAAAAAAACAAGTTGAGGGGTCGTTAGGTGCTTAAAAGATTCGGGGCTTGATCCATAGTCGTGGGAACTTTTGGCATTTCAGTACGATATCGATCATGGTTTTCTATTTCAAATTTTCCAGACACCAACCGACAATTCGAGGCACTGTCAAATAGAATCTGGGCATGGGCCCCATTTGTTAGTGCCTAGCAACACCTCTGAAAGCAAGTCTCGTCAGAGAAGTGCAACCTTGAAAACAAGTCAGTGGGATAAGTGAGAAAAGAACAGAGTCACCCTGACTCCCAGGACATAGTGACAAGGCTACTGGCAACAGAATTGGAAGGCTGAATTTCAAGTCTGCAAAATGGAAGTATGTATTTATCCAAGGACACTTTGGAGACCAAAGCAGGATAAGCTGAGGCAACAACAACTTTACTTGTACTTTTAAGTGCCAGAGGACATAGTTTTCTCACTTTTTGAGGCTGAGCAGGGATACTAATGTATATTATTTGTTCTAGACTACTTTTAGAAAGTAGGCGCTTACACGTACAACATATTTCTTTACTGAATCTGGGGTGTCATCATAAGTCCATATGGATCATATATACAATTTTGCAAAACATCCAATCTCTTAGTTCAAGGTCAGTCCACCCAAATTCATTTCTTTTAGCAAAAAGTATCCAACAAGTATTTTATTCAGCAATATTTGTCTACTTATTGTTTGTTTGTTTGTAGTTATGCAGAAAGCTACACAAAGGGCTATCTGTGCTCTGCCCAGATACAGGTATCAAAACCCAGATTCTAGCATTGTAAGTCCGCAGACATACCGCTGTGCTACTGGGAGGGCTTGTCTATTCATAGCCAAAATACAAACCCATCTAATTCTGTGTTAAATATTGCATTTTTAAAAGAAATTGGTGCAGTAGAATAATATATTAACTTACGAAAATTTCATGTTCTTTAACCCTTTCACTGTAGCCGGGACGTATATTTCCCAGTTCTTCCCCCACCCTCACACTGGGACAAATGTTTCCTACTCTCGTTCAAAATTGGCCACGTGTGACATATGGGAGTAAAACGAGTTGGAAAGTATTTATTGGCATCCCACCTAATGTTGATATATGGTTTCCATCAATGTTTTTCATTTAGCCCTTCAGTAACCAAGAAGATACCTAAATGGAATGTACGACGACTGCATGCTGACCATGCCCGCATCGCTAGAGTGACGAGTAGTAACCCTAATTACTATGTAAATGTGCTTGACTCAGAAGATAGTAAAAGTGAGACAAGTGGTGTTCAAATGTGTGATGATGAAGAGGAAGTGAGACAAGAGGATGCTAGCTCTCCATCAAGTGATAAGTCAAGACGATGAACCTGGACCCATCAGAGGAAGGCGTAAACCAGCAACGACAATGGGAAACATTTGTCTCAGTTGCAGTGAGAGAGGGTAGGAGCACCGGGAAATACAAGTCCCAGAAGCAGTGAATGGGCTAAGTTAAGGCAAGTTGACTCATATTTTAGTTTTTATTCACTGTTCTTGCAACATACAAAAAATTACACCAATAACCGAACTTGCATGATCATAAAATAAAAGCAGTGCAGTTATTGGACATATGTAAATCCTAAAATACCTTATATGTAGATTTGTATAAGCACCATATAAACTCTCTATTCGTACAATGGTAGATGGGAATCTAGTTAGTGACAGCTCAGTGAAGTCATTTATTCAAATTTTGTCAAAGACAGTTACCTCTAACTGTGAATAAACAAGATTAATATAGAGAGGACTGAAGATTTACTTTTAACAAAAATTTTGTCACATTGATTATATTTTCACCGTATTAGCCCAACATTAGTTTATACCAAAATGACAAATTGGGTGGGTGAGCTCTAAGTTGTATAAAAGTTGTTATTTGGGGTGGGAAACATATTAAATCTTATACCATCTACAGACAGATAAACTGGCTGAGAGTTGTATAAAAAGTTGTTATTTGGGATGGAAAACATATGAAACCTTATACCATCTACAGACAGATAAACTGGCTGTGAGTTGTATAAAAGTTGTTATTTGGGGTGGAAAACATATGAAACCTTATACCATCTACAGACAGATAAACTGGCTGAGAGTTGTATAAAAGTTGTTATTTGGGATGGAAAACATATGAAACCTTATACCATCTACAGACAGATAAACTGGCTGAGAGTTGTATAAAAGTTGTTATTTGGGGTGGAAAACATATGAAACCTTATACCATCTACAGACAGATAAACTGGCTGAGAAGATTACAAAATAATAGAAAAAAAAAGCTTGATATGTATGTACGAAGACAATGATTGAGACGAACTCTTTTCCTACTTGATGTTGTATAAAATATTTGAATTTACTGATATGAAATTTCATAGGAGTACTTACTCACTTAGCCATTTCAACCAAGAAGACGAGGTACGGAACTGATATCCACCATCAATTAGTCAACCACTCAGTTCAAGACCATATTTAGTGGTTGTAATAGTAAACTAGATATATCAGGTATATCACCACGGAGTTGGGACTCGTGCCAAGTATGTAGATAAGTTGATAGTTTACATCACAATGGAGATACTACATCTGAATACTGGTTAGATGGGAATCCATCAGCTGATGCAAATATTTTCCTTCTGGGAAAACAAAAGTTTAATATACTTTCATTTTAAACTACAAACAATGCACTAACTGTTCCTTTGTTTCAGTTATTGTAAGTCTACATTTATAGTTAAATTTAAAGTTACAAATGATTTCATTTTGGCTTATAATTTCATAACTTTATTGAAGGACAGAATCAGAAAGATTCAAAGTTAAAGCTGTACTTGTAAAAGAAACAAAAGTAAAACTGCTTTACTATGATACAAAAGAGTAAAAAATATAGGAACCGGTAAAGCAAGTCCATGTCAGTTGGTGGAGAAGCATGTACCTATAAAATATGTTATTTTATAAAAAGCTGTTATTATTTCTTCCACTTACATAAGAGAGTAGAAATATTTCAAAGTTAAGATTGCTCTTGTAAGACAAGGTGATACAAAACTCTGAGTTTATTTTGGTGTGAAGAGGCACACGGTTTAGGATTAGCGAAACAACTTTACTTCAGTCGTATGCAACTGCAAAAAATTAAGTTTGACGATTAATGACAGTGAAAAGGTAAAGATTTCTGCAAGTTTTGCAAAAATATTCACAAAATAACGAAGTATACTGATAGCTTTTAATATCGTGAAGCTACACACAGACAAGCTATTTTTCAAAATGCATCTTTTTCCTGCCATTAGATTCCTCTCACATTTTCTTCCATATTTATGAAGCTATTTACTCACCTTGCTCATTGTGTTCTACCTACACGTTATCTCAGAAGGCACATAAATAACCGTTCTTGTTAATTCTCGTAATCTGCCATTACCAGTGTCGTGCTCTGGCACGAAAGCCTCCAACAGGCTGGACAACAGTGTTCGAAGAAGCACTAAAAGACTCTACTGGGTACTGATTAAAAAAATATCTAGAATTTTATAAGACATGAAACCAACTATAGTTCATTTTACTGCTGTTAAAGAAGTGGAAATTACCAAGATGATTTATTTTCACTGTTATAAACATCATATTGACAGTTACAGTAGCTGTCAGAGCCGAAAACTTTGGTTGGTGTATATTAGGATTATGATGTTCTGGATAAACCAAGATAATGAAGAAGCATCTTTAAGAAAAATTATAAGGTCTTTCATAAAGGCTGGGAAAGTTAAAGATGGGAAGAGACCATTTTGTTTAAAAGATATGAACAGTGCATTTAGAAAATATGGGATATCACAAATGTTGGTAAAGACATGATTGGGTTAAGAAGCTAGAAAAAAAAAAGAACATTCACTGGCACTTTTATAGGCTTTCTGACTCGGTCATCAACATCAACACGGATAGGTACAGGTTGATTAATTTAACTGCTAGTATCGGAGACTATAATTCTAGAGAAGTTAGCTGGATAAATTTGTCTCCTTCACATGAGGCTGAAGATTTTCTTGAGATCGTGAGAGTATTACTTTATCACCCCAGATGTCAAAGAAACTATGAGACAAGACACTATTTTAAACCTTGTTTTCTCATAGATAAGGATGTGATGAGCACGTTAATGCACTTTTGTTTAAAGTGAAACTACCTGATGGATAACTAATTTATCGTAAAAAAGATTGGGTTACCTAAACTAAATAAGTAAAAACATAAATAAATTAATAATAAAGTCAAATGACTATCAATTAAAAAAAAACAAAAAAACAAGCTTATAAACATATGAAACTTACTGGTAAAATTAGGGATGTTAATGTTTATCGGAATTTAGGAGAAATATTGAAAAAAAGCTATTGTTATGGCTAAAATAGAATATAGAGTCTATTATTTTAAAATGTCGTCTTTGACTTGAAGAGTTCTTATATTTATGTTAAACGTAAAAAAAACAGTTGACAAACATTAGTACTGTCATGAATTGACTAGTAGAGTATTTAAAGCTAATTCTTTATACAATAGCCATGCTAATTATAAACAACAGTACAGAATAAAAAGGGCCAAAAGTTAGACATTAATAAATAAAATACCTTGTTCACCTGTGCAGGATCCAGTGTTACTGCACTGCTCATATCTGCCCACAACTGTCTGTTCTAAATCAGTGAAGAAACTGAACAAATAGATAGTTGGAGCTCTAAAGTTATCTTTTAGAAAATAGTGGTCATTGAACAATATCCAGTGGTTAAAAAAGTGATCCTCATGTACTGTGTTGGATTTTTAAAGGAGGGGTAAAGGAAAGAATCAGAAAATTACTTTAAGTTTGGCATGTTGGTATTAGAATCTAATGTCAGAGCTCACTTAAAAGCAGTCAATAAATGAGTGCTATTCAAGTACAATAACATCAATAGGTAAGTCTGAAGTACCCACAAAAGACACTTCAGAATGGATAATCAAGGAATAAATTATATATATGGGCAGCAAAAGAAAAATAGAAGTGAATAAATAAAATAATATCTTTATTCACAACGAATAACAGTGTTTGTCACTAAACTGGCCGGCTTTTCACTTACTGTTGTGACTTTAACTGACTGCTAGAGTAGGTGAAGTCTTTTCAAGACAAGAGAAACCCTGTAACAACCCACTTTTATAGTCAGGCAAGAGCCATCGTGCAGTATCCAAAAAGTCATTAGGTTAATTACTTCCACTACATATCCACATATTTCTGTTTCACTTGTTTTAATAAGCTAGGTTTAATCAGAAATATGTACGTACTAGAAGCTAGGTTTAATCAGGAATATGTACATACTAGAAGCTAGGTTTAAACAGGAATATGTACATACTAGAAGCTAGGTTTAATCAGGAATATGTACATACTAGAAGCTAGGTTTAAACAGGAATATGTACATACTAGAAGCTAGGTTTAATCAGGAATATGTACATACTAGAAACAAGGTTTAAACAGGAATATGTACATACTAGAAACAAGGTTTAAACAGGAATATGTACATACTAGAAACA